CTCCGATAGGACCGACCCAAATAGTCATGTTTTAGAGCCTTGAAAACTTCTGAAAACAACTAAAAGCCAAAAAACGTCCATTCCAGGATTCGAATCAACGCCGTCCGCTTTGTAGTTCAGCATGATACCAACTGAACTAACGGATCCCGCGCCCAGCCTTACTTCTACGACCTCAGAAGATAGAGGTCGCTGTGAGGACGCCTGGTAACGTCGATTTGCTGTAATGTTCCCCTCTTTTGTCAGGCTGCGTTTCCCGGTAAGGTCTTACAAGTTGGGATAACATCCGCACAGCCTGACAGAATCAAAACAGGCCCAAGGGCGCTGGGAACAGCCGGATAAATAGACGGAAGGGCGAATAGATCCCTATTCTCCATTAGTGGGTAGGAGGGTCAGATGGGCAGATAACAACATACGCATCGGGGATCGTCGGTGTCGGGGAGAATGCGTGTAACCAGAAGAAGAAAATTCTTAGGTTCACACAACGCGGTATTGTGGGATTGAGAGTTATAGTTATTCTGAAAATATTTGATGTTTTTGTATGATTATGTAAATATTTTAGAGCGCCCTCTCTCTTTTTTTTCCTCCTTGAACACAATTTAAATAATTTACGAGACGAAAATGGTTATTTTAACTTGCTTGTCAGGGCAAATCCTGGCTGAGTCAAACGCAGCATCCGAGCAGAAGGGGTGGGGATGGAAGTGGAGGGGAAGGGAGGGGCTCCCTGGGGGGATGAGGGATTAAGCAGGCGATTAGAGTGTGAGTCGGGGAAGGGGGAGGGTCGGAGGGAACAAAGGTGTATGTAGGTATATGATGTTGATTTGGGCCATTATCACTAAACGTTTTTTCAAAGCGCTCCGAATTACTGAGAATGCCGTTTGCACCCTGGGTATGTTCATCTCAATACGCTGCATACACAAGAATCAACCTAAACAAAATACGCATACACCCAAAAAATATCAGTAATAAGTACATATAGGGGGAGGGGAGGGCTTGTTTGCTTGTTTCGTTTTGTTTCGTTTTGTTTTTGTTTCGTTTTGTTTTTGTTTGTTTATTGATTGTTTGCTTGGTTCGTTGGGGTTTTTTGTTTGTTTTTTGTTTTTTGTTTGTTTTTTGTTTTTGTTTTTGTTTTTGTTTTTGCTTTTTTGTGCGTAAATTTGAATTTTATATCTTTGTAGGCTGAGCAAAAGTTCGACCCTAATCAAGCCCGTGACGTCACCCGATGGATGGAAGCTGTGCTCGGTCGGAAACTCTGTGATGACGTCCAAGCTCTTAAAACAGAACACGATTTTGCCGGGATCTTGAAAGACGGCGTGGCATTATGCGAGTAAGATCTTACGCTTTAAAGATGATGTTTTCTTTGAAACCCTATCAGTCATTTTTCTCGTTTTAGAAAAGATCTTGGTACTCCTATCGGGCTGAGGGGAAAGAATATTCTTAGAAGAACTAAGATTTTTGGAATGTTACTCTGATTCGAAACTTCACCTTCAACTGACAGACATAGTACGAAAAGAAAATGAAAAAGCTAATGAATAAGAAAGCGAAATCGGCTAAAATGTGCATTCTTTTCAAAAAGATGAAATGATCTTGTCAAGCTTTCATTTCAAATAGACGAGACGAACAGTGCCTGAACTAGGTGAACAACCAGACCTTACATGGTATTCTAATAATAAATAATAAATAGCATTTGTGTATAGTGCATGTCCCCACTCGAAAGTAAGCTCTATGCGCTTTACACTATATTAGAGTCATTCTAGCCACCACTATGAGCGCTGTGGTGTTGTCGCAACAACAATGCTAGTGATACCAGAGAGTTTGGTGATACCACCAGAAGCAGCACCAGCACATGTGGTGTTACGGTTACACTTTTTGCTCTTGCCCAAAAGAAGAGAGTTGAACATCCGAGTGGCGAAGCTTTTTTTTTTTTAATCTAGATCTATATCAACGTCTTGTAGCGACTTAATTCCATTTTCTTCAATTTCATTATTTTGACAAGCGCCTGATTTCTCCACGCTGCCTTTCATGTTATAATTCCTTGTAAATAAACGTTAATTTGTCTGTACTTAGTTCACAACCCGACGTTCTGTCATAACTCTACAGTCTGTCCCCTAGTATGATTATGATATTATGCTATAAAGAACAATGAGCTTCCACTGCTGCTAATAAAATGAAATACGTCTTTTGTGTTGGTCTCAGTGGTAAATGGCAGGATCGAAACAACCCAACTCCCAAATGGTGTAAGCTGAGGCTAGTGGGTGGTTGGCGGGTGCTCTGGTGGGATTTTGTTCCTTCTTTCCTATCAAACATCTATAGTTCTTATCTCTCCTCCTTTTTTTTTTTTTTTTGGTGTATGTTA